TGGGACGGGTGTCCGTAAGATTATTTTGGTTTTACAAAACAAAGAAAAACTTCAACGCGCCAATTCCTTTGCTTTCTCTTTGTAAATTCTTCCTTCTTCTTCAACTATCACCAACTTCAACGCCTCCGCCACCGACTTCCGTGTATATGCTCCATCTTCCTCATTTCTCGCTATCTCTATCCCCGCCTTCTTCTCGGCAAACACTCTAGCAATCAACCCTTGGTCCATGGAGAAAGGTAGCAAAACCAATGGATGTCCAAAGTAAAGCGACTCTGTAATTGAACTAAATCCACAGTGAGTCAAGAATGCTCCCACCGATTCATGAGCTAATATCCTGAGCTAAGGTGCCCAACTCGTCCAAACCACTCCTCTTCCCTTCACTCTTTCCTCGAACCCATCTGGAAGAACTATCGTTTCATCCCGATTTCTCAGCCCCCAAAAGAAAGGTAATCTAGATAACTCAAGCCCCAAAGCCAACTCAGTCAACTCATTTTGACTCAAATTCAACTCGCTTCCAAAGGCAACATAAATAACTGTCTTTCTCTTCTGTTTCCCTAACCACTCGCTAATTTCATCACGTTAGCGTGTCTCTCGTGAGAGAAGACTCTTTACTAACAATGGCCATGCCTCCTACGAGTCAGGGGGGTTTCTGTTCCATTTCGTCACCCTTCTACTTTCCAAACCTTAGCACTTGAACCTGAACTCAAGAAGCAGATAATGGACGATTTAACCGTATTTTCTAATGGCAAAGAGTTTTACCATAGAGTTGGACGCGCTTGGAAACGTGGTTATTTGCTTTATGGGGTGCCAGGATCTGGAAAATCAATTTTAATTGCTGCCATGGCTAACTACCTTTGCTATGACGTATATGATCTTGAGCTCACCAAAGTTACAGACAATTTAGAGCTGAGAGCATTGCTTATACAAACTACAAACCGTTCAATCATTGTAATCGAGGATATAGACTCCTCGGTTGATCTAAAAGCGGATAGAATGTCGAAGAAAAGATCACATTCACACCCGTCAAAAAAGCACATGGAGTCGCAATATGACAATGGAGAAGAGAATGGAAGGGTTACACTTTTAGGGTTGTTAAATTTCACTGATGGTCTATGGTCATGCTGTGGAGAATAGAAGATAATAATATTCACCACAAATCATAGAGAGAATGTGGATTCGGCGCTAGTTAGTTTTGGCTTCCTGGCAGAGAAAATAACCTCTATAGTAAACCAAGAAAGCTATATCTATTTGCGGACGCCCATCCATAAGTTGTGGACGGGCGTCCTCAAATATTTTTATTTTATTTTCATATTTTGGTTAAGGACGGGCATCCCTTATTTGCGGGCACCGGTCCAAAATTAATGGACGGCCGTCCCTAAATGTTTTTTAATTTTTTAAAAAATATTGTTAATGAACGGGCGTCCATTAAAATATGAACACCCGTCCAATATTTAGGGACAGCCGTCCATAACCTATGAACTGCTGTCCCTAATTTTTATAAAAATATTTTATTCTATTTTACTTATGGTCATTAGTAAATGGACCCCCGTCCATATAATATGGACAGGAGTCCATGTAAGTGAATAGAAAAATATTTAATAACGCGTCTGGATTGCTGGTGTGAGTCAAGAGACACGTAGGCCGGTACACATTTTCGGTGTAAAAATGCCGGTGTCCGTAGCTTTATTGATAATCATATTCGTATCATCGTATTTTCTCTTCTTAAGTTTTTATGGAAATCTAGAAAATGGTGTGATTATTTACACCCATAAGCCATTATTATTATTATTTTTTTAAAGTGTATATTCATTAAAAAATATTAGTAATAAAATCGATAAATTAATAATTAACTGAACAAAAAACACATTAAAAAGTATAAGGGTGAGCAGTTTCGGGTACCCGTCGGAATTATTAGGAACCAGAACTGGAACTTGAAATGCAAGTTTCGGTTCCTTTCTTGGGTACCTTGTAAAATTAATTACCCCCTATTAATTAAAAAAATTAAATACACCCCTAATAGTTCACAAAATTCACACATTCACCCCCGTTTCCTAAACCGGTTCCCAGCAGGGTATCCGAATGTAGGTTCCGATTCTGGTTCTCGATTCTTACACTGTAGGAACTGTAACCAAAACGGGGAATTCTAGATTCCAAATTTCCAGAATTGAAACCTACCCTATGAGGGTCAGTTTCGGTTCCTACCCAGAATTGGCGATCCGAGCACCTGCCAATTCCGAGTATACCCTTTACCCATGATCACCCCTAATAAAAACCAATAAATTTGTTAAAATGTGATTTAAAAAAATATTCCCTAGATTTTAGTATGATGTATATTTAGCAAAATAAGTTGTAGAGCATATTTTTGAATGTAAATAGGCACTGTCTAAAATATTATATCTATGTTAATTACAAAAAAAAAAAAAAAAGTTATGTGGACAAAAGTATCATACAATAACATTATCAATGTTCTTTTTTTTTTTAATTAATAAAAGCATACTACAAACTCTAGAATTTTGTCGTACATCATCACGAATGATTTTAGAAAAGAAAAATTTCAGTATACAATATTATGTAATGTAAAAGATGTTGTAACAATCAAATCTGGTCAGTTTCCTATATTTCTCGTCAAACAAATAAATAGCCTATAAAATTGTTAAATTGTCTTTATTTTTGTTTGGAACTTTAGATTGAAGATTGTTGTCACGGTAGTAAAATGAGGTTCATGAGGTTATAAAATTTCCTTCCTATTTTTTTTTTTTTTTTGAAATTCAGATATGCAGATGGGTAAGGATACCCTTTATGCAAGAATATTGTTGAAATTTTCACAAAAAATTATTGATATGTACACCAACAACGTCAATGATGACTCTTTTTACAAAAACAATTCAGTCCACTCCTCACGACACATAATATATATTTTTTTCTTATTCAAAGTGGGAGAGAAGAACTAATAACTTTTGCACCCGCGACACTCATCCAACTTCAAATTACCAAGTGTGAAAAAAGAAAAAAACCAAGAGATCTAACAGTCAATAATCAAATAATTCACAGTGAATCATTTCAATCAAAACCCAAACCAGAGAGTAACATTTGACCAATTTTCACAAGCTTAATTTTGACTACCAAGACATTACATCTTCCACAATCACTTCGCTTTCAACAATTAATCATACCTACTATGATTCTTACTAAATTTCAGTTAATAATTTCTCATCTTTGACTTAGTATATCAAATCCCTACATGAACTTGCACTTATATCCACCCTTCGTGTGGCTCCCTAAATTTGTCACAGCATTCAAAATCAACAATAAGTTCAAGAATAATATTTCATTAACCGTGTTTTCAAAATTATTAGTATCAATCATCAATCTTAATACCTTGTAATTCCAACTATCAAAATCAATTTTCTGTATTTAAAAAAAATATAGCACGCATACAAGCAACTGCACATATATGCATGCACAACCTTTGCCCTCCCTCTTTCCCCACCTCCCATGTTTACTAACATAGAATTACTGGTGCCCGGAAGGTGGTTTTGGTTCCTATATTTTTCAAGTTCGTGTAAGTTCTCCTGGTTGCTTTGAATCTAAAGATAGATTTAGCTGTCAAGTGGACCAAGTGTCCAAAATAATATATAGCCCTTAAGTGGACAAAAGCTATACAATCATGCATCTGTTAATCCTTTTCTGACAAAGTCCTTGTAAAATATGACTAATCCTTACTACAAAAACAACTAAGAAATCAACTATCTTACAACCTTTTCCCATTTAAGTTGAATGAAGTATAGTTCTCTTCAAGGACAGCACAACCTATACCCGAGTTTTTACAGCTTTTAGTATAGTTTTTACCACCCTAGCCCCCAGCCACCCAATTCTCAGAGAGTAATCTGTGTTCTTAGTGCATACTTAGTCCACACTTGTACTTCTCTTTTCCGTACATCAATACACATCTTTTTCTATTTCCTATAAAAACATGTGGATAATTAAAGACAAAAAGGCATTGGCTGAAGTTATCAACTATAAAATCTCAATAGAATGCTAAGAGATGTAATGACCTTAAAAAAAGTAAATTGCAAGAGTGAAAATACAATGGGAGAGGCAGCTGAACATATTGTCCAGGAGAAGATTTACAGAGCCAATCTATCTAAAGTTAGTTGATAATCTAGATAGTCAAGATTAGGGTTTGGGTTAAAGTGTCTTCAAAATTTTACAGGAGTAAAAATCCTTAAGTACGAACTTATAGGTTTGCTAAAAAATTAATCTCCCATAATCATCTAAACTGATATAAGTGCCATGGCCTCTGGAAGCATTAGCAACCTTTATAATTGTCACTATATGAGAATCTCAAGTTAATTTATAGATGAATTGCCACAAAACTACAAACCTGTGAAATAAAAAGCAAAGATGCTAGTTTCACCGCTTGGAAAGTTCTCTAATAAACAATTTCTAAATTTCCAACACTGAAAATTCCATTACATGGAAGAATTAGCAACCTTTATAATTGTCACAATATGAGAATCTCAAGTTAATTAACAGCTGAATTGCCACAAAAGTACACACCTGTGAAATAAAAAGCAATGATGGTAGTTCACGGCTTGAAAAATTCTCAAATAAACAATTTCTAAATTTCTTCCACTGAAAATTCCATTGCATGAAAAAAATAAAAAACAAAGAGAAGGACTTTAAAGCCATACTATTTTGGGCCAAAATGATCAAGGCCTTCAATATCAATTACAGTGAAACAAGCGAGACAAGATGATGACAACCAACGATGCCCATGATCATATCAACAAGCAAAAGCAGTATGTTGTTAAACAATAAGTTGCCACAAGATATGTAATTAATAAAAGAAACTGATATAATAACAATTGCAAACTTTCATAAAGAGCTTAATGATTACTAGATGTATGTATACAAAAATACTATATCAGAAGTTATGGTACTTCCTTTAAAGCTTACTAATTAATACAGTTCTGCTAAAGAAATAATAAGAATCAACATAAGCACGCCAACTCAGTTTCTTATCAGCTCAATGAAAAAAAAAATTCAGAACATCAAATTGACCAATATTCACATATCATTTGAGATAAATGTATATTATTCTTTCCTATCAATACAAATGCACAGTGAACAATCTAAATCCAAAGTTCAAAAAAAAAAAAAAAAAGATAGGTATATAATAAGAGACCAAAATTGATAACATTATCAATTTTTTTTTTCTTTTTTCCGGATGAATGACATGAATAACTTTTCACTAGTAGCTAAACTTCAACTAATTGTTATATTAAACCTTCAATTTTCGTAAACAATCCAATAAACACAAACTTCTTCAGTTTTCTTTCATGTACCATAATGTGAAGACCGAGCAGCCATACTCGCAACCTGTGCCTGCATTTGCGCCGACCGAACTTTGGCTGCAGTGGCGCGATGGAAAAACTGCTCCCTTGACAATAACCTTACATTCCTCAAGTAAATATCAAACGGCACAGATCCCTCCTGCAACGCCTTGTCCAATGAATAAACCACATCTTCAATTGCCAAATCGGCTGCTGTACAATCCAACATTTGCTTTGACAACACGTCCAGGCATTGAAACGCATTATCTACATCTAAATCCTTAAAATCTTTGGTTTTGTTTTGATTTTCTCTAACCCAAGCTTCTAAAATATCTGTATTCATCAACACCATTTGCAATTGCTGTTCCAATCCTTCTTTTTCGTCTTGCAATTCTTTCAAACCCTTATCGATTTCTCCTTCTCTACGTCTCAAAAACGCTTGTGTGCTAAACAAACCCTCCATCTCCGCCTCACGCGCCTTCCTCATTCCCACAATATCCCCGTGGGCCATCTCCACTAACTTGTTCACCGCGTTCCGCTTATAAACCTCCGTCGGGTCATCCGTCTGCGGCGGCGGAGGATGCTGAACCCGGCTCCCGTACGGAGACGGCGGATACGGCCGCGCCGGAGCCGGATGAGGACGCGTACCAGCCGACGATCCGTAATTCGATGCAATCGGATTAGAATTAGAACTCGGGTTAGGGTTAGGGTTTGAAACCGCAGGCCTACGTTGCGAATAAAGTGGCGGTTCGCGTGAGAAATACGCGCTCAACTCGCGTACGAGATCGACAAGATTGGAGCTAGGGTAAACCCAATTCTGCAAATAAGGAACTGAAACGAGGCCCGAAGGGTTAACATTGGGGTGAGGACGTTTGATAACCATGTCGCGTGTGGGGTTCACGTACACGCAGGGCGGATTGCGGGGGTAAGACTCCATGAGCCAGATGATGACGGGGATGTTGTAGGTGACGCCTTGGAAAGGCATGGGGATGGTGCCCTCGGCTTGTAGAAGATTAACGGATCGGCCATCGTTGTGAGTAAAGGTCGCCGTCTTGGGGTCGAGAGAAGGGTAGGTTGAGATTAGAGCGAGGAGGTGTTGGCGAATGAGCCACTTGGTGTCTTCGGCATAGGGAAGCGCAGAGGGGCCGCGTTGGGAGAGGACGGAGGAGAGGAATTGTTGTATTTGTTGAGGATTTGGCGGTGTAACGGGCGGTGTAACCATTGCTGAGAAATGGATATTGGAATTGTTTGATGGAAGAATGGAGAAGGAAAGAAAGAGAAATGAAGGTGGAGGAGACTTCGGATTGGAGTTTGGAGTTTGCTTAGCACTAGTTGTTTACGCGTGTCGACTTTTTGTTTTTGTTTTTAATTGAATGAAAAATTAATATGAACGCACCGACGAGCATAGTACCAGATATCAGATGAGGATGTGTTTGTAATATTTTAGATCTTTATGGGTTCTCTTTAATTTTGTAGTTTATTTCTTTTTAAAAAAATTAATTTGAAAAAGTAGATAGAATTTAATTTTGTACCTTCTTTGATAGAATCTTATTGAAAAAGTACAAAAAATTAATACAAACTAAGGAAAATAAATTAAATGGGAAAAAAATTTTTAATATAAGAAAACTTTTAATTTATTTTTCTTAATTTTTGGTTTATTTATAATTCTATATTAAATATTGGCTTTTAAGGGTGTTTAAGTGTATTTTCAAACTTCTGTATAGAGGTGGGTAAGGACTGGTCCCCTGTGGCCCCAGGCAGGGACCAGTCACTCATGGGCCTGGGACCGGTCCCGAGCCTATGAGAAAAACCAGGACCTGGACCAGGCCTTAGCCTTGGTCGGGACTGGTCCCATGGGCCCAGGACTGGTCCTAGGACCGGTCCCATAGGGTTTGGATAATTTTATTTTCCCCCTCAATTTTTTTCATATTTTGGGGGCAAAAAAATTTTATAGGGAGTTTTTAGTATTTTTTAAGGGTAAAATTTATAAATTTTATAAAATTTTTACACTTGGAAGATTTTTTGTTTTTATAAATTTTGTAAAATTTTTTTTAGCCCTCATAATTTATATTTGTTTTAAAATTAACAGAGGGTTTTATGTAATTTAGCAGGGAACTATATTGAAAAAATACAAAATTTTTTGGGCCCGGGCTCGGACCTGGAGGAGGGCTCAATGGAGGGCTCAAGCCCTCCTCCTTTGGGACCAGGCCTCCTAGGTCCAATCCTCTCAAGGATCGATCCTAGGATCGAGTTTTGGAGCTAAGCTTTTAGGCCCGGGCCCAAATACCCAGCTCTACTTCTGTATATTTTAGAATATTTTTAGTAAACTTTAGACTAACAGAAGTAGTTATCCTCAAACGGAATATCATATACCTATAACCTATTTATGAAATATGGGACCCCTATTGTTTAAGAAAGTGACACAGAGCTTCCCTCGTTGGAGGTAAAAAAAAATTCGTCACTCCTGTTTCCTAGCCGTAAAATCCCTAAGCCTCTTAATCACCGCCGATTTCAAGCCTCAACCTGACGCCATTACCAAGACTCGAGCCGCCGTCCTGAAATGAAGAAATCTGTTTAACTTAATTGGACCGGCACTCATCTGCGTCAGTTGAAGTCGAGGCTTGGTAAATGGCTGACTTTTTTTTATTTTTTTAAGATTTATGTAACTTGTGCAAAATGAAACCTTTCGATTTTTCTTCAAACAAATTCATTAAAATAGAATATAATTGATCAAGTTTTTTTCGTTCAATTCTTACATTGTACTAAATGGGTGCTTATCTAAATTTTCTAGACTCATATTCCATATAATGTGAAATATTGTGGTCAGGAATTGAACTAGAGGATCTGCTGTTTAAATTTATTGTTTCTTTTAAATTATTTTCAATTTTGTAGTTACTGATAGTTTGTTAGTCAAGAAATCTACAAGTTTTATCGACATTTGTGGTTAGCTTTTTTTTGTACCTGTTAAATATTTGGATTTGATTGGAAACTTGAAACTACTCAATTGAAACTCTAGAAATTAAGTTCGTATTCGAGTATCAGATAATTCATTAATATGTAAATGATTTCTCCATTTGATTTTTGGAGCTACTCGAGATTATGATATCGAAAACTTTCTCATGTATCTTATGGCATAACTACAACAGTTGATTGTTCTTAAGTGGAATAAACGGAAAAGCACTTGGTCAAAGTATTTGAAGAGAAGGTTTGTTTCTCAAATTTTTCTGTTGACGCATGCAAATACTAATATTTATTAGATTGAAATTTTCAACTTCAAGTCCTGGAAAAATTGTGTAGCTGTTATGTCTTACTAGATATAGTGGCACGGAGCTTCACCTAGAAAAGTGCTAACCTACTCCTATTTTCATTTATGTGGGTATACAAGTTTGTGCTTTCTCTCAATAGGGAAGGGGTTTGGCGTCAAATAGGTTGTGTATTTGGCTTTTGGTTCAAGGGAGGGATGGTTATTTGTTGCAGTATGTATAGATTTGATTTCCTTTCCTTATTTTTTGATTTTTTGTGGATACTTAGTCTACTAATCTTGTTACTAAATACAAAGTTTGTAGTCATGAAATTACATCCCAAGCTTGTGCTTTCAACAGGCATGGTGGATCCATGGTGGTCTCTACTGAGTGCAGTAATACCAGTGGTAGTTGTTGGGCAAGCTATGAGGATGAAGAAAAGGACAGCAGAAGAGCAGAGGCTGAAGAGCACGGAAGGACGAGAAAAGAGCTCCATGATATCTTTGTATGTGAGAGAGTGTGCACTTCAAAGAGGATGCTAAAAAAGGTTGATGCACTAGCAAAAGACCCAGCAATTGATACTTGTGTCACTGTTTGTGGTGTCTCCGCAATTGATGCTTGTGCTGATGCATGTATGAGAACTGTTTGTGTTAATCAACACCAAGTCCCCAATTGGAATGATATCTGTCTTAGGAAGTGCCAAAGTGAGTGTCTTAAATTATCGAGCTTGGATTCTTAAAACAGTTTCTTGCAATATGCATTGCTTTACTAATGGGATGATACTCTTGTTTTTCACAAGTTTAGATTGTTTCTTTCTATTGAAAGTTCCCTTTTTGTGGACAGATGTTGATTCTGGCCATCCAAAAAACATTGTTTCTACCTGTGCAGGTGTTATGGATGTCTTATGGATACCAATTTCAGACTTTAAAATTCTTATTAACTGTGACAGCATATACAAGAGTGTATGACAAGAGTGTATACCAATTTATTAAATTAGTACTTATATTTATTTAACTAATAAATAATAATATAACATCAAGAATTATTGTTATATGTGAAAAAAAAAAAAAGCCAGAATAATTGTTTAAGTAGAAAGTTAAAAGTAAAGAACTAATGGAGCATCAAGATAAAGGAATCTGGGAACCTGAAGAATTGTAAAACCTGTAATAAACTAAAAGCCTGATACTTACTTTATTGGCAAAATCCTAATTTAAAGAACTGTGGATGCAATTATATTGGAGGCTTTTATGAATAGCAGAAAGATTTGGAACATGAAATTGTATTGAGGACAAAGTAATAGTTGTTTCATTGACAATTTGTGGTACTAAAGAAAATAGGGACGCCGCAAACAATTTCAGAAAATGAACTCGCCATTATCAGTATCCAATGGATACACTTCTCTGTGTTTACACAGGCTGTGATCTTTCTTGGACCAGGATTTAACTAAAACACATAAAATGAAGTTAGGCACTCTTTCTTCAGAAAATGGCTGTCAGTAAACGAAAATGCTATCTGTAGGTCAAAAGCCATCCCAAAGACTCAGAAGCATTCTAGTCGGCTCTTCTTCTGGCACGGTTTGGAGGCTGTCACAATTCCATGTTTCTAGAGTTTCAAGATTTTTAAGGTTTTTAAGTCCCTTGGGAAGGGATTTAAGATTTGGCAGGTGCTCAAGATGAAGAGAGGATAGATTGGTGGGCAGCAACCAGCCTTCTGGAAATGACTCTAACCCCTGACATCCACCAAAGGAGAAGTCGGTAAGACAATTGAGTTTGTGAAGGCCCCATCTAGATGAGGGCTTGAGATTTTCACAATTCAGGATCGAAAGTGTTATTAAATTGGTGGGAAGTCCACCCTCTGGAAATGACATAAGACCGGAGCAACCATTGATGCATAGTTCTTCAAGAGATGTAAGGCTATACATCCGATTTGGTAGAAATTTTAGATTCTGGCAATTGTAGATTCTGATTGATCGAAGCATCGAGGTGGGCAAGCCAGGTTTAGGAAATGACTGAAGAAGTGGGCAGTCAGCTATTTCCAAGTGATCAAGTGATGTAAGGTTTTGCAGGCCTTCGGGTAACGACTCAAGATTCATACAATTGCTGATAATAAGCTCCTTAAGTTTCATGACAGTGTTGGATGGGGTTTTGGGCAACTGAAAAGTTGCTTTTGGGAAAGATGCAATAGAAGGACACCCAGAAACTTTCAAGGTTTCGAGCAAATTACTGTTGCAAATCATCTCCTCTGGAAGGGACTGCAAATTCGAGCAGCTTTGGATTTCAAGTTCTTTAAGTGAGCCAGACAGCTCATCTCTTGGTAGAGATATGAGAGAAGCACATCCTTCAATAAACAAATATTCAAGTGAGAAGGGATTCTTGCTTCTGCAGGAATCATGCATCATCCTTTCAGGTGAAAACTGCAAAGCTCCACAACTTTTGATTTCAAGTCCCAAAAGCGTGGAGGGCAACCCCATTAATGACACGAGGGAAGGACAATTCCAAATCCTCAATACTTTAAGAGATTTAAGTTTGTGCAAGTTGTCCGGCAATTCCTCCAAGTATGGACATTGTGAAATTTCCAACAGTTGGAGCGAAAGGAGGCTTTGCAATCCAATATTATTTGATAAAGTTGTGAGCTGACCAAGTTGAGAGATCTGTAATTCTTCAAGAGCTGTTAAGTCTTGAAAATATTCTTCAGCTAGAGATGCCAGATTGAGAATTTGACACATTCGCATGTAGGTAAGCGAAGATTGTCCAATAATGCTTTGTACCACCTCGCCATCACAGTTGGTCAACTCAAGTTCAGAAATTGAAGGAAGCTTTGGAAGTATTCTTAATTTTTGGCATCTGAAATATTATTAAGGAAGGAAAGCAAGTTGGTAACTCCATCAAGTTCGGGCATGACCATATAGAAAGTTCGAGGAGGCAAGAAAATTCTCCACCTTGGTTTAAGCTGTCAGTTGTCTGATGCCTTGGAAGAGCTTCCAATTTTTCACAACCACTAATAGTCATTTTCTTCAAGGAAGGAAAGTGTTGTACGAATTTTCTCAGCTTCGGACAATTCTGAATTTCAATACTTTGAAGCCGAAGGAAGTCACCCCTACCTTCAAGTCCACTAGAAGACCACTCCTCCCATGCTGACATGTTCTCAAACTTCAAAGTCTCCAATGATGGAAAAGGTAGATCAGAAGAGCACCCATCCCCATAGAATTCCGTACCCACCATTTTTATTCTTTTCATTCCTTCAATGGTAAGGTCTTTGAGTGAGGGTAATTGTCCTAATGGTGGTAAAAATTGACACTTCGGACAGTTACTAAGTTGCAGAAGTACCATATTGCAGAATAATGGGGATCCAATCCAACTCGGAAACCCTGTACCTCCATAGTCCTTGATCATGAGTTCTTCTATGTTTTTGTGTGGTTGCAGCATCTCAAGTACATCTGTTTCAATTCTTTCATTCCTTGAATCATCCAAATTGCTACTACGATCCAACTGTAATTCAACAGATTCCTGCCTATAAGCTTCCAAGGTTTCTCTAAAGCTCGGAAATTGTGGAAATTTATAGCTGCTGATGGTGGGATCCTTTTGTTTTCTGTGATGTTGGCGCGTGTTAAACACTTCTTCTTCATCTCTGTCCTTTATTGAATCTTCAAAATCATTACTCCATTGTAATGCCAACTGAGTCAAATCCTTCTTGTCCTTTAAATTTGCCTCTATTGCATCAGTGAAACTGACCACATTTTGCAATCCTGAAATAAGAAGTGCTCCCTGAAGTCGATGAATGTCCTTCAAGTCTCCAATTCCAGATCCAGAATCTTTACCCACAATAAAATGAGACAACGTTTGAAGATTCGTCAATCTACACATTTGCATTGGCATCTCTCTTAACCTGCTTCCACTAATCCGGAGATGTCGAAGGCTTGTTAAGTTTCCCATCTCTGTGGGCAACTTACTCAGAGAATAGCATTCAACTAAGATTAAAGTTTGTAAATTGTAAAGAGTTCCTATTGAGCCAGGCAAAGTTTTGATTGCTGAGCGAGAAAGATCTATGTAGCGTAGATGTTTCAATTCACCAACTGAATTCGGCAATTCAGTGATGCGGCAGGCATTAAAAGACAGCACTCTCAAGTATTTTAGCTTTGGCAAGAGATCATGGGGAACTTGGTTAGCCAAAAAGCTTGCTCCAATTTCTCCTGTCGGATCCAATGGCAGAAAAGTGCGTAAGCACTCAACTCCATGGAAGGCATCAAATTTTCTGAGCATTTCTCGTCTACTGCGATTGTACGAGGAATGACGAGCCTTATCAAAAATTCTGTTGTGATCACCATCCACCACCTTATCGTCCAATCTGAAACAATAATCTCCAGAAACAAATTGAGCTAAATCTTTCATGAGGCCATGCATTACATATAGTGAACTGTTGTGAACAGATTGTTGAAGAAATGACCTTGATACTAGCTCATCAAAATATTCAACACCTATTTCTTCCAATTTTTTCCTGCCTGTTGGTTGCTGCACAAAACCTTCTGCCATCCATAACAAAACCAGTGACTCCTTGTCAAATTCATAATCTGCAGGAAATATTGAACAGTATGCGAAGCACTGCTTCAAGTGAGGAGGAAGGTGATGATAGCTTAATCCTATCGTCCGAAGAATATCACCTTCATCATCCGGTAGATCCCATATTTTCCTATTTAAGACATCATACCATTCGCCTTTCGGTCTGGAGCGCAGAAGAATTCCCAGTCTCTTCGCTGCCAGGGGTAGACCTTCACACTTCTTCACGATCTCAGTTCCAAAAGCCACCAAATCTGGGAATAAATTAAAGTTTGGATTCTCAAATGCATGATTCATGAAAACTGACAGACAATCTTCAAATGATAAACACTCCAAATGATGAGCCGGAACAGTCGCCATACTTGCTGCAATATTGCTATCTTGAGTAGTTACAATTATTTTACTTCCTCTTGCTCCTGTTTTCAATGGATTCCAAATGAGATCCCAATCAGTATTTCTCCTACTCCAAACATCATCTAGAACGAGCAAAAATCTCTTTCCTTCTAATTTCTCCCTCAAACTAAGTTGCAGCAGATTCAAGTCATTAACATCAACAGATTTTGAAGTGACAGAACTGAGAATTGTTGTTATCACCCTCGTTACATTGAATCGATCAGACATACAAACCCAAATTCTCAAATCAAAATGCTGCTCCACTCGGCTGTCATTATACACAAGTTGAGCAAGAGTAGTTTTACCAACGCCGCCCATGCCAACTACAGGAACTACACAAACTTTACAACTACCTGAGTCATCGGTTAATAGTGATTCGATAATCATGTTTCTATCGTTATCCCTACCATAAACACAAGATTCATCAACCAAGGAAGTTGTAGGTAATCTTTGTGTGCTTCCAGATAACCTCCCCTTAACATCATCATTCAAACCAAGAACATCTTTATACTTAGCAATAAGTTCCAACTTCTCAATAATCTTATTTATTTCGAAATTGACACCTCCACTAAAAGGACTAAGAGGGCTTGAAATGAGTCGCCAATTGGTTACCTGATTCGCTTCAGATTTAGACTCAGAATCCAACTTGGATGTTAAAGCTTCAGTAGCCAGCTTGTCCAATATATCCTCTGCATCATAAAGGGCATCTTTAGCCATGTGCAGCCACTTTCTCACTGCAGGATAATAAAACTGCTTCCCCTCAGCATCATTGAGCAATACAGTAACACTGAGCAGTGTGATCTTCAACTTTTCCAGCAAGTCATCGTATTTTCTGCCGCGAAATAATTCTGCAAACTCACGAGAAGCCAATCTATCGAAAAGCACTTGCAGGAAAGCAGAAAGAAAAGCCTCCCCTACAGGCATGGTAAAGAAACGGTAAGGCAAACGAAAGACCAAGCAAAGAGAATAATCCTAGCAAGTCAACAGGAGCCAAAATTAAAATTGAAGTATTATGAGGTATGGAAAAGCATTTCCCAGAAGTAGCCTAGAAGTCCACTGACACCAAGTCAACAAAAGCAAAAAAAAAAAAAAAAAAAAAAAAAAAATATTTGATATCATGAGGTTTGGAAAAGTATTTCCCAGAAGTAGCCTAGCAGTCCACAGACACCAAGAAGTCAAGCTTAAAACTTGATAAAGACCAGTCCCAGCCCTCTCTCTCTTATAGTATCCGGGTGCTCTTATAAGACTAAGAGAGCAAGACATCCCACAAATTGATAAATTTTCAAAATCATCCTACAATGTCCACTTAAATACCACATGTTCTTAAAACTTTCAAATAAGTAACATCCCAACTTTATAAGATTTTCCAGATTAGGAAATTTTGATTCTTTATCAAGTCATTATTTGAAAACACAATTTGTCTTGAAATACTCAAAACCTAACCATTCATGAGTCTATATGAAAAGGCCTATCATTAAATTAAAATTATTTTAAATAAGTAAAAAACTTAAATCATACTCTTTTAAGGCTTTTAAGTGATTTAACCAATTAATCATCAAGGGAAACAACATGCATGTTTATTAAACACTAAATTTTGGATAACATGTTAAAATAAAATTTAATAAATGTATGTAATAAGAAAGATGCCAAAACTCAAATTCGCAATTAAATGTATCTAGAATAAACATACATTATATGTAATTTAAGATTTTATCAAATATAATTTAACTAACATAATTAATGCAAAATATTTATCATAAAAACATTTTAAGAAAAGTTTCATTCACTATTTTGACATTTAAGCCGAAGAAATATCGGGATCCTCGCACCGCTTGTCCCCCCAGTATGTTGAAATAATAGAAAAGAATACTTAAGAGGCTATAAACTAAATAAAACCTTAAATCTTTAATATCACTCACAAAGTAAATCAAGAAAGTATTTAAGGTGAAGGAAATTGGTAAATGTGCTTGACTTAGAGCTTCCATAACTTCTCTCTTTATCACCAAATGTATCCTAACCCCACTGAAATGAGAGAAATCTCGGCATTTATTTACATCACTTACACTTTAGTTCTCATTCTTTCTAATATCTTTTTAACTAAACCTCATATTTTCATTCTTCTTAAAGCGAGCCAATTAATTTTAAAAAATTACAAAGAGAACCCTCCTATCACATCTCATTTCAATTACATCAACATTCACCATATTTTAATAAATTCTCTTATTTATCCTTTAAATAAAATATTATCTACTCATTATCCCATGACTTTTTAACATTAAAAAAGGTCATGCATTTTAAAATCTTCTAAATACAAAAATGTTTAAAAGAAAATGAAGGTAATTGTCGATTGTTTGTAAAGGGTAGGTAAATGGAGTGCTGCAAAAATAATAAACTGCAAATGGTCATTATACCAAACCCTACCCTTTCAGGATTTGGAGAGACTTCAGTTTACTTCCTCCAACTTTCAATTCAACCATGGCAATTTTCTGGTTTGTAAATAATATATTAGCTCAACTATAAAACAGCTGTTCGCATTTCGCAAAATAGAGCTGACATGCATCAAGAATAAAATAACAACAGATCAAATAATTGCAGAAAAAAGCAGATATGATGCTTTACCTAGTCATGTTGAAATTGCAAAGCCCACCACCTTTGACTCTGACATTTCAACCCTGTAATCAAATTTGTAATCAAATTTTCATCAAAACTAGATTGAATCTTGAAAAAGCCAAATATTGAATGTTTAAATAATGGCCATGTCAAAACTGACAATATTGAAAAAAGCCAAATAATCTCTACGACTATTCTCACCTAATTGAATCTTTTCCCACAGTTTCTCAGCACTGAAACAATCCCCAGTGAAACCCAGATTTCTTTGAATTTTTTTTCTCCTTTTCTTCATCAACATAATCCTCTCCAAATCCAAATTGGGAACTCACAGGATTCACAGCCACAAACAAGCCAATAAAATAAAAGAATCGAACAAATAATCCAAAGATTCAAGAATTGTTCAAACTAAGTAGTCATGGGACTATTTAATGCTTCAAAATCACATTACAGCTTTGTACACATTTAGTAACATTAGCCTAAATTAAAAAAACAACCCAGTTTAGAAACTACTTGACAAATAGCAAGGTGAAAGCCATTCACCAATCCAGCAAGAAATAACACTTCATTACGAAAATATTTGATTAAATAGATGGCTTGAAGTGCAGGGATAATTTCAATTAACACCCCGATATTTTGAAAATTATAAGCCACCCTGAATGCAAATCTATTTTAAAATCTTTAACGTTCGAGGGTTATATACGTCTTTATAAAATGTTTTCTTTCTTTCTTTTTTATTTTATCTTTTTAAAAATTTAAATGACTAAACTGCCCATTAAAAATTTAATGAACCTCAATGTTTTAGGGATATTGTTGTCTTTACAAGATTAAAAATTCAACTAAAAAAAAAAACTCTGTTTCTTTTTTCTTTTCTCTCTTATTTTTCGGGTAAGTTTTATCGTGTTGAATTTTAATTGCCAAAAAAATAATTACAATATATAGACTCGAAATTAAAATATTTTTCTTGAGTTATTGAGCTAAATTCTACAGCATTTGAGGATGCCATTTTTACCATTTTTAAGCCTGAATTTAAATTGTAGGTCGGTTACTTTATAAATAGAAATAAAATTCCTTACATAAATGAAATATAAAAAAGTGTTAAAAAAATTTCATAGGCTTCCTTTATATGTATTTGATTAAAAGGAATGAATTTATAATTTTTTTGTCCAAAAACACCCTTCAATAAGGGCTTTTATACAATCAAATTACAAGATTTTAATTAACAATAAAAAAAATAATAATAATAATTGTAGAGTGACAGGTCTTCTTACTGGCTCCATCAGTATAGGAATCAAATTAACAGTCTCAGAAGAATAATCTTGAGCAACAACATTCCCAATGCATCCGAATATGTTCAGAGCATTGCCATCACATCAAAGACTGAAGGAAACTTTAGACTCAGGAGATTCTCAAGGTTGTTTGCGGCTTTTATGATAGTTTTGCCTGTTGTGTTCTTGATCAAGATGGTTAATCGAGAGCCACTGTCAAATCTAAATGAGGGCGTTTCGAAGACCAGAATCTCACTGGAAGAAGGTTTTGTTAATCAAAATGCTACTTTACCATGTGCTGTGGAATATAATGCCGAATTTAATCATTTACTTCCAATCATATTGTTGAAGTGTTGTAGAAAGCAAAACGTGGAATGCAGTTGTTATGCTTGGGAAATCAAGGGCTGACGTGGGAAATCACGTGATGGAGTGTGACCTGCTCCTGTCAGAACGGTAAGCGTGCACCAGACTTGCCAGACGCTGTGGAGATCCCACGTGTCCATTCCCTGCTCCAAATCGTGTGAAATCAGTTTGGAAGGTGGGCAATGTGACATAAAACCGGATTGTGTCCTGACATTCACACCAACCCACAAATTTAATGATGATTACTTGCACTCATCTCACTATAAAAAGGAGAAGACCCCTTTATTGAGGAGATTCGGCCATTTTACACTCTGAATTAGCTATCACTCTCTCTCTTGTATCTTTGCATTTACTTTTCACTAATCATTTGTAAGTCAGTCCGCTGTTGCGACCTGACCCACAATATTAATACAACTATCGGTGGACGTAGGACTTGCTACCTTACCATCCGAACCACTTTAAAAAGCTCTCACTACTACATTTACTACGCACTTTATCCATACTCACTTGTGTCTCTTGGCCAACCAACGTTACGAACGTGTAAATTAGTTGGTGTCAAAATCACGCATCAACAGTTAGGCACTAGAAGGAGGGGCCGATTTAGTGTTTATCCTTCATCAGGAGAATCTCTAACCTACTGGTCCTACAGCAACAAATGGCCTGCCAATCTGAACCTGAGCAAGCCAACCAGCGCGCTGAGGGAGTTCCCCTAACCTAGGGGGATACCTCTTCCAAGATACTTCTAGTTCCACAAAATGCTACGGTGGATATCCCAGCAACTTTGCAACTTGACCCCGCCATCAGAAGCTACCTGGAGAGTTCAACAGTACTCTCCAGACGGTCAACCAAAGGTTGGACCGTTTGGACCAAGACGTGCCATCTAGAACAGCTGGGGCGGTGCAACCGCCAAAAACGCCTGTAGGTCGCCCGAAAGCGCGACAAAGGGAAATAGGCCGTGCCGCGAGTACTGCAGCGCGTAGACGTAAGGGTAAGCAAGTGGCAAAAGCCAAGCGGCAAAAAGCAAGCCTACGGGCTCCAAAGGGCCAGCGAACACAAACCGTGCCCCAAGCAGGGTGTCGGCAAAGCTGAGACTCGATGAAAAAGTAAATCCCGAGCTGCCCATGCCACGTCACAGGTGAACCCAAGCAAAAGTGCTGGGCAGGGCGATTCTTATCACCGCCAGCAGAACGATCCTGATTGCTATCATGTGGGTGGTCCCCACACCTCGCGGGGCGGTTCATACCACCGCGAGGGTCGTGAGAATACCCCGCACCATCCATCGCCTTCACACACCTCTAGCTAGCATGTGTCGAGAGCGGCCGGAAGTGTCGGCCGAGGCGAAGAGGAGTCCGACCTCTGGACTTTCCTGAACCATAATTGCGAGGGTCAGACTCGCATGGGTGAAAGCAATCCCCAACTGGTTCCATTACCACAAATTGAGGAGCTGCAGCGAGCTCTAGACAGACTGAGAGAGCAGCAAAACGAGCAGGCCCAGGTCGCATCTGCATCCCCCTTCTTTCCCGAAGTGTTAGTTGCTCCACTCCCATCGGGGTTCAGGATGCCCGACATGCGGCCGTTTGATGGGAACCATGACCCGTAGGATCATTTGTATGAGTTCAACGACCTGATGGAGCTTCACCAGGTTTCGGATCTTGCAAAATGCCGTTGTTTGGCCGTGACTTTAACTTCTTATGCCAAATGGTGGTTAAGGTCGCTCCCAGCGGGATCGATCAGTTCGTGGCCTTAGATGAGCATGACGTTCCTACG